ATTTGTCTGGGACGGTATGAGGATTCCTCACTTGAGCAAGGGGTTGGGCGAGAAGACCTCTGAGGTCCCTTGCAGCCCATGGATGGATGGATGGATGGAAAGGGATGGGGAATGAGAGGAAGGAAGGAAGGAAGGAATGAGAGGAAGGAAGGAAGGAAGGAAGGAAGGAAGGAAGGAAGGAAGGAAGGGAAGGAAGGAAGGAAGGAAGGGCACTATATATATGTCTAGGACAGGGGTCAGCAACCTGTAGCTCTGGAGCCACATGTGGCTCTTTCACCCCTCTGCTGCGGCTCCCTTTCACTCAAAATATCACAACTGCCAATGCACGGCACGCAATTTATTGAGCTTTTCAACCTCTGGTAGGCCAACCATGGATAAATCCAAGAAAAGAAAAATTTCAGAAGAAAACAGAACGTTTAATTCAACTACATAGGCTAGTTTTGTGGCCGCTCAAGAAATAGTCAGGCACGGGAAGGGTTTTGTGGCTCCCGGTGTTTTCTTTTTCCAGTGGGAAACGGGTCCAAATGGCTCTTTCAGTGTTTAAAGTTGCAGACCCTTGGCCTAGCCACAAGGAAATTCCAGGGAATGGAAGGGAGCTCTTTCCTTGGATGACCACAAGGGGGCAGCCAAGAGCTTCCCAGACTTTTTAAGCCACCCTCTAGTGGAGGTTTGGAGTCTTGCAGGGCAGATTTGGCCGCCCTACAGGAAGTGGGCACAGAAGCCTTCCCCAAGTCGGCACACTTCACAAATTGTTCCACTGGTTAATTGTTCTCACTGTCAGGAAATTTCTCCTTAGTTCTAGGTTGCTTCTCTCCTGGATTAGTTTCCACCCATGGCTTCTTGCAATACTTGATAAACTTTATAATACTTTGTAAACTTGATACTTTATAAACTTCTCACTTTTGTCTTCACCAGCATGATCCATCCTGCACATCTTCCCTCTACACACCTTCATTTCCCTTGCAAATATAATAACAGTCTTCCAAAATTTGAGGGGCTGCCACGAAGAAGAGGGGTGGTGGTGTCATCCTATTCCCCACAGCACCCAAAGGCAGGACAAGAAGCCAATGGATGGAGACTCATCAACCAATCTAGAACTAAGGAGAAATTTCTTGACGGTCAAAACAATTAATCGGTGGAAGCGAAACTGTGTGCGCTCCAACGCTGGAGGCTTTTAAGAAGAGATTGGACAAGCATTTGTCTGAAATGGTGTAGGGCATCCTGCTTCAGCAGGGGGCTGGACTAGAAGACCTCCCAGGTCCCTTCCAATTGTGTTTTTTCTATTATTCCTTCTGTAGTTCGGTTTTCATTCCTCCTCTCTCTAGGACCAAACCATCTGAAGGGATATCTTCTATAACAAACAGTCACCCCCTTTTCCTGTCCCATCTTCATCCTTTGTTCCTTTTTCACCTTCCTTCCTGACTTATCCACTTCACACATTCCCACCGCACTCAACTTTTAACCCTTCTGGGCTGCCGTTTCCCTTCCGACCAACATTCGTTCCCCTCAACAGACCACAATTAAACCCTCTACACTTTTTAAACTGGCTTAATCTTAACCTGCTGCGTTTTCCCTTTTTTATCAAGGTCCACGCCAAGTTCTTGGCAGCCCGTTTCCACCGGAAGTGCTATTCTCCATACTTTTCTTTAACAAGATTTATTGATTTATTTACAGGGGAAAATAAAAGAGGTTAAAATCCACCATATTTCCCTGGTTCCCGGGGCTGAGACTTTTCCGTTGTGTCTTTTAGTCCCAGGGTCTGGATCCAGCTATGGAGAAGGTCTTTGTGGAACTGATAAGCAAGGAATGTGCAGGTGGCCGGAAGGTGAATCAGGCCATGAACAAACCAGCATAGTAAACAAATTCTTCTACTTCCTCTACTTCACCTTTTTTTATATACATAAGGGCAACCCTGCATTTTTCCCCGTCAAACGCAGCCATCCAGGCCTTGCAACACACGCCTGTTCAGATCCATATCTCTGTTGCATCAGGCGGCTGTGTGCCTGTGGGTAGATAGTCCTTGACTTACAACAGTTCGTTTAGTGACCGTTTGAAGTTACAACGGCACTGAAAAAAGGGACCTAGGACCGGATTTCGCTTAATGACTGCTAAGGACCCTTCCCATGGTCGCAGGATCAAAATTAGGAGGATGGCTAAATACTGACTCGTATTTATGACCGTTGCAGCGTCCCAGGGAGAGGTGGGTGGGTGGGTCACGTGACCCCCTTTTGCAACCTTCTGACAAGTCCACGGGGAAGCGCCATTCACTTCACGACCATTTTACTAACCTAACAGCTGCAGTGATTCACTTAGCAACCGTGGCACTAAAGGTCGTATCCTGGGCAAAATTCGCTTCACAATTACCTTGCTTAGCAGGTGAAATTTAACTGTGGTCGTAAGTCGAGGACTGCCTGAGGTTTAGAAAATGATGGCTCCTGCTGTGGCCTCTTTGTTTGCACCTCCCTTGCAGAGAAGACCCCCTCTGGTTGAAAACCTGGGTTGAGATATAGTGAAAGACCCCCGCCCTGGAGTATTTTGCAAGCAGGTTTCTTGTTCGGTCCCTCTGCTCTTCAGAGGCTGCCCCTAAACGGAGTGGTTTGCTTTGGAAAGGTGCTTTTTCAGGAGGCAACTGGACTTCCTTGCTTTTTTTTTTCTTTGGAAGACGTTTCACTTCTCATCCAAGAAGCTTCTTCAGCTCTGATTGGATGGTGGGGAATGGAAGGATTTATATTTGCATCCTTTTAGACTTTACATCCTCTACTTTTAGCTATACAATTTGGGATGAACCCCCTTCGAATGGTGTGGGAGGGGGAATGGATTTCCAGAGGAAAAAAATTGCAAACTACAGGAATGATTTACACCACTCAGGTGACCCTGAGGACAAACCTCCAAGTGGCTTCAACGTCACTCTAAAAGGAGGCAAATGACCAGCTGTCTGCAAGGAATATAAATCCTTCCATTCTCCCACCATCCAGTCAGAGCTGAAGAAGCTTCTGGGATGAGAAGTGAAATGTCTTCAAAAGAAAAACCAGAAACTCCAGTTTTGTTTTGTTTTTTTGCTTTAATTTATATGCCGCCTTCTCCGGAGACTCAGGGCGGCTTACAATGCGTTAAGCAATAGCCTTCATACTTTTGTATATTTATACAAAATCAGCTTATTGCCCCCCATAATCTGGGTCCTCATTTTACCTACCTTTGAAAGGATGGAAGGCTGAGTCAACCTTGAGCCTGGTGAGATTCGAATTTGCAGTAATTGCAAGCAGCAGATGTTAATAACAGTGCTTTAGTCTACTGTACTACAGGCTCTTTTTCAGTTGCTTCCAGAAAAAGCACCTTTGGGACAACCGTGACCTGGAGGACGGAGAATCTCTAGAGACTTTTGCTTTGGAAACTGTGATTATTTTTTAATACCCCTAAAAGGTTCAGCTCTGCTGCCTCTCTTAAAACACTAATTATCCCCTTTTGAACTGAGTCAGGAAAGCCCTTTGCTGCTCTTCCATGCAGCTCTGTGGACACAGATACTTCTGCACTGCCCTCCCCAAAAGGCCCCCATTTCTGAAGTAGGAGAAGAGGGCAGGTGGCATCTCCCCCAAAGCCACCTCTCCACACAGGTAGCCTTCACTCAGTGACCCCAACAGGGACCAGCAGTTGAAAGGCAAGAGAAGACTCAAAGAGCTGATCGGACACGAAAGATGGACGCACAAAACAGAAGTTTCCATCCATAGCAACGGATGGAAAGTAATCAAGGAGAGAAGCAACCTGGAATGAAGGAGGAATTTCCTGACAGTGAGAACAATTAGCCAGTGGAACAGCTTGCCACAAGAAGTTGTGGCTGCTCCATCACTGGAGGTTTTGGAGAAGAAGCACTTTGGTAGTACAGGGGTTTAAGGCACCCTGTTATTAAGCTGGTTATTAAGACCAGCTGCCTGCAATTGCTGTAAGTTCAATTCTCACCAGGCTCAAGGTTGACTCAGCCTTCCATCCTTTCTAAGGTAGGTACATTGAGGACCCAGTTTGTGGGGGCAATAAGCTGATTTTGTATAAATATACAAAAGGATGAAGGCTATTGCTGAGCACATTGTAAGCCGTCTTGAGTCTCCGGAGAAGGGCGGCACATAAATCAAATTAAAAAAAAAAAAAGAAACTGGACAGCCATTTGTCTGAAACGGCGTAGCTTTTCCTGCTTGAGCAAAGGGTTGGACTAGAATATGTCCAGTATTTGCAAGCCATGGGCACATGTGTCATATAGACGCCAGTGGAGGCAGAGAGTGTCCCCACCCCTATGTGGAAAGGATACTCAGGCTTACCCTGAGTATAAAACCCCCTCCAACCTTTTCCACCTCTCTGGCTCTCTCCATCTCTCTTTTCATGTTTGTTCCTCATGAGACTTGATCTCTGTTGTATATAGTTAATATGATTTGAATAAATACATTTAAGACATTTATTCATGCATTTGCCTCTGAACTCTTCTATGCTCCTGGGTGTTTCTACGATCCCAATCCCACAGAATATTTCTTAAATTGTTCTTTAAAATTTTATATCTGTGTGTTTTATTTTGGCTGTACACCGCCCTGAGTCCTTCTGGGAGAAGGGCGGTATATAAATTAATTAAATAAATAAATAAATAGAAGACCTCCAAGGTCCTTCCCAATTCCGTTATTCTCTCCTCAACCATTACTGGAAAATTAGCTCATTTCTTCAGGCTGGAGCTGAAGACCCAATGATTGAAAGGCCACCTGTTCCTCACCACTTTGTTACCAGCCTACATCTACATGACCTCAAAGGGTCTCAGACACACACACACACACACACACACACACACACACACACACACACACAAAACCAAGGTAAGGGCGACCTCCTAGCCCTCTCCCTTCCAGGAAAGTCAAGCTCATGGCCAACGACAAAGACACTCCATCAACCACGGCAAGTCAGGAAGGGACGTCCTCATGCATGGGGAGACGGGACGCAGCCTTGAAAGCCGCAACTCAAGGACTCACTGTTTCTGCAACAAGTGCTGGTGTTGCTGCTGCTGCTGCTGCTGCTGTCGGTAGGTCTCGATTGTGTGCTGGGGGAGGAACTGCATGAGCTCCAGGGATTCCTTGATCTTCAGCAGCATCTCGTAGGTTTCCCGGCCTCGAACCTGAGCCAAGGAGGAGGGAAAAGCCTGAATGAGAAGCCCCCAGAGAAGAAGTCCACAGTGCCATCGTCCAACACCGTCTCCTTCTTCTTCTTTTTTTAAAAAAAATATTTTTTATTTATATATAAATATTTTGAAAACAGTGCATTGTCCAAGCATTTCATTTTACCGAAAAAACATCAAATACAGTAGTAGCATTAATAATAATAATAATAGTATGTATAGTAATTATAACAATAATGATAGTTGTATTAACTTTGTGCTTCTATTAATTATACTGGCATACTTAAAAGTCACACATAACGTTCACCTTTTACATACACATAACCATTAACCTTTCTTCTTCTAAACTTCTACCTCTCGTATCTAACCACTGATAAAACTTATCCCATGTTGAATAATACTCTGTTATCTTCTTTATCTTTCACTTTTTAATGTCAATCTATCCATCTCTGCACAATCCAGTATTTTCCGAATTATATTTTCGTCTGGTGGGGTGTTCTCATTTTTCCAATATTGTGCAAATTACAACCCAACACCGTCTTCTTGACCTGCAGGCAAACCTTCTCCAACTTGGTGTCCTCCAGATTTCAAGGGGTGTCGTTCTGAACTGCTGGAAGACACCAAGGCTGAGGATGAAAATTTGGGGTGTAGCACTGATGATGTTCCCTAGTTTGGTAATGAAACATCTGCGAGCAAACCACCAGGCTCAGAGAATATCAAGGACCCCACAATTGACCTCTGAACGACAAATATTCCTTTCTATTAGAAAGTACCTTCAAACAGATAAAAGTTATCTTTTGGTCTAAGTTCAACTCCTGGGGACCTCATGTCTACATCTACACTGTCTTTTTGGTGGTCCTATGGAAATTGTCTCCTGCCTTCTTCAACGATGCTCTTCAGACTTCCTCAACACACTTACAGCTCTGAAATTTCCTTTTCTCCTGTCCAAAACCTCACCAGATCTGGCCCTGATTAGCTCCCGAAAGGAGATAAGTTTAGCTCAACGTGTCCCAAAAACTCTGAAGACACCAAGTCCACATTTTGAGTAAGCAGACAAAACCGCGTTCCTTCTTCCCTTCAAATTCTCCAGTCAGGAAATGGGTTATACCACGTACTGGAGACCGCATGCATGGAAGGAGGCCTTGACTTCCAACCTTCCTGAACTGGCTCAGAAGCACAGGAGAAGTCCTCACACCTTCTGAGGGGTCCCCCTTGCTTTGCCAGTGGCCAAAAAACCCTCAAGGTGTCATTCTCCCAACTGCAAGGAAGGGAACAGCTCCACATTTTTACCCAAGTCCTGGTCCTACTTACTGGGAGATACAGGAGTTCATCGTCTGGGTTGCGTCTTTTCTTGACGGAAGTCATCTGGATGCCATGCGTGCTCTGCCGGAAAGCTGCCAACGAAAGGGAAATAGAAGAAAGTGACACCACAGCCTCAAGGAAGGTCAACTTGACATCTCAATTCAGGGAAGCTGTTGCCATTTCTGAGTCTGCGTCCGAAGCTAGAAATGAACAAGAGCACGGAGGCCCACCAAGAGAAGATCTTGGCCAACTGAAGGGTCAATCAAGAAAGAGGAACTCATCTTGACCCAGATTGGAGGATATTCTCCAAGACTCAGGATGCTTCAGGTTTCTCTATAGCATCAAATTGCAGCTGGAGAAACTTCTGGAGAAGATTTCTGGAGACAAGAAGGGACAACCCACCAGGTCTTAGCAGATTGGTGGTTTGGTCCAACTTCCTCAACCATTGCCATACTTATTCCAAGTCTTCCTCTGAACTCAGCAAAGTGAAAGTAAAACTGTTCCACCTGGTTGCCAATCTTGGCTACCACGAGATCAGAAGTCTTCAAAACTTGTGGACTTCAATTCCCAGAATTCCCCAGCCAGCAAATGCATTTGCTAGCTGGGGAATTCTGGAAGTTGAAGTCCACAAGTCTTAAAGTGGACACCTTTGGGGACCCCTGCAGTAGATCATCAAATCCCTACAGGTAGTCTTCAACTTATGACCATAATGAAGCCTGCCCATTATGGTCGTAAGTCGAGACACTCGTAAAGCAGGTCAACCCATGACTGTCCTGATTTTAAGAAAGTGGGTTTTTTTTGCAGCTGTCATTAAACAAATGTGGCCGTTGTTAAGCAAATCTATTGTTCGCTATTGGATGTTTTGACAAGAAACCAAAAGTAAAGCTCGGTTTAGCCCCCAAAAATGCAAATCTGGGTCATGTGACCGCTGTGATCGGCCGTAAATGCGGGCCATCATAACTTTGAAGCAATCTATTCTAAATTGAGGACTGTCTCTATTTCTTCCACCCGGAAACACATATCTTTCAGAAGGCTTGCCTCTCCTTTCACCTTCCAGAAGGTGAAAGAGGTAGACTGCCCTGACCATTGGAGGCTCCATTAACACTCATCGGGCCTAAGGGACACCGTAGCTTGTTTTTTTTTTTAAAAGTCCATTTCGTTAATCCAGAAAGTTGGAAATTATCCAGTCACTGGTTAAAAAAATAAATAAATGGTAGACTGCCCTGACCAATGGAGGCTCCATTAACATTTGTCAGTCCTAGTTGACACCGTAGCTTGGGTTTTTTGTTTTGTTTTTTTGTCCACTTCAAACCACAGCTATTTTATCTTTTTTTCTTCTGACACAGGGAAGTTGGCTCTATGACGATGGGATTGTTTACACTGCCTTGATTGATGCTTTTATCCAGCATTTCCACTTCGGGTTATTGTTGCTTGTTCCACTTCAGTGCACACAATCCTACAAGTTCGGACTGGGTGCAATCCTTCTATCTCCCGTCCGGCCGACACCCGAGCTGCATTCACACAAACACTGATTAGAAAATGGCTTCCTGTTCCATTTGGGCTAAAATGCACTGGACGGACCGGAGAAAAGCGACGCGAGCAGGCAAGGTTGGCCCAAGGCTAAGCCAACAAACACCCAAGCACAACCTAGTCAAAAGCTGACCTTCTCCTAAAACAGTGTATTTCAAAGTTGGCCTCTTGAAAACGAGTAGACTTCAACTCCCAGAATTCCCCTAGCCAGCTATGCCTGATCTTTTTTACCCCCTCTCCCATCTGCTAAAGCAGAGAGATCGCAGAGGAAGAGATTATAAGAGAGTAAGCAGGTCAGCATGAGATACACCTCCGAAAGCAAAGAGATCGCAGAGGAAGGGATTATAAGAGAGTAAGCGGGTCAGGATGAGATACACCTCCGAAGGAGTGCATTTAGTGCCAAGGAATTCTGATACGAGTTGCAGTCCGCCCATCTTCAAGGGCTCAACTCTGAAATACACTGCTGTGAAGGCTACTGCTTCTGGCTACTTACGGCGCTTCGTACCATCACCGTTCTTTGTGCCTTCGGAGACCTGTTGTTTCCGAATGCTGTCTTCATCCGCTTTGCGATCCCGGCCTGGGCAGGCGCAGATCCGAGCCTCAAAACATCGGCGACCAAGGACTTGCCCACTGCAGGGTGAAGAAAACAAATCCCATCAGCCCTTTTAAGACCTAATAGCCATCTCCAGAAATGCCTCAAATATGGCTCATCTGGCCAAACCACGAATTAACCAGCTCCAAACCACGAATTAACCCTGATTGCTATTGATGGGGATGGGAATCTTCAAGTTACGGTGTTGCGTGAAAGTCAAGTTGTACGTTGTGTGAAGCAGATCATACTGAGATGGATTCACCCAGGAGATGTCTTTATACCGTCAGTCCTCGACTTACGGCCACAACTCCAATAACGACGGTCGCAAAGCGGGTTACTCATGCGACTGTTTTACATTCTGTTCTGGGGCAGCGGCTAAGCAAACACAGGGTTGTTAAGTGAACATCGTGGTCATTAAATGCAGTTGTTAAGTGAATCCATTGTTTTCTATGGGGTGCTTTGCCCCCAAAAGTGGAAGCAAACGCTCGTTTTCGGGGGAAATGTAGGAAATTGTGGGACGGTGCAGACAAGTGTAAAAGCAGGATGGTTATTGAGTGTCCAAAATGGGGTCATGTGACCTTGGAAGGGGGAGGGGCAGCCATCCCAACCAGGTGCGTCACTCTTGAGAGGGGGGAGGGAATTCATCATAAGTTCGAACAGTCACTAAGTGAACCGTCGTAAGTCAAGGACTACCTGTACATCATAAATACTAGCATCTCCACTCGGTTAACCTAGATTGGGGGAACTCAAGTCAGAAGGGAATGCTTTCATACACTCTGGCACACTGAAGGACGGTCACTTTGCGGAGCAGAAAACCTGATGTGGAGACCAGGATGCTCAAAACAGGATCATTGGGGAGGGGAGGGCTGGGAGAGGGGGGGAGATGCCCGGTTTTGAATCGCTGGCTGCTAACTCAGCCCCCCAAAATAGCCATGTGCAAATACAGGTAGTCCTCGACTTACGACCACAATGGAGCCCAAAATTTCTGTGGGTCAGTGAGAAACTTCCTAACAGTGAGGGCAATTAACCAGTGGAACACCTTGCCACAAGAAGTTGTGGGTGCTCCAACACTGGAGGTTTTTAAGAAGGGACTGGGCAGCCACTTGATTGGGATGGGGTAGGGTCTCCTGCTTGAGCAGTGGGCTGGACTAGAAGACCTCCAAGGTCCCTTCCAGCTCTTATACCGATGGACTGAATGCTACTTGTAAAGGCTACATTTGGGGTTCGGAAGCCTTTCGGTTTTACTTTCAGATTTCCCGCAACCTCCCGCCGTGGCGACTTACTCTCTGGCTTCCAGCGTGACGATGATGAGGATGGGGCGTCGGTTCATGCCACCGACGCAGCTGCTGTTGCACATGAAATTGTAGAGGACGGTTGTGAATTCGGTGCCAACCTGGGAGAGAGAAGAAACAGGAAGCGTTTGGGTTGAATTTTTGAGTTACCCAAGAATCTCAGCTGTAGGTCTCTCTGATTGCGAGGTGCAATGAGAGAGAGAATGAGAGAGAGAGAGAGAGACAGATAGGGAGACAGACAGACAGACAGACAGACAGACAGACATACACAGAGAGACAGAGAGACAGAGACAGAGAAAGAGAGAGAGAGAGAGACAGATAGAGAGAGACAGAGAGAGAGACAGAGAGAGAGAGAGAGAGAGAGAGAGACAGAGACAGAGAGAGACAGAGAGACAGACAGAGAGAGAGAGAGAGAGAGAGAGACAGAGAGAGACAGACAGACACACAGAGAGAGAGACAAACACTCAGACACACAGAGACAGACAGAGACAGACAGACACAGAGACATACAGAGAGAGACAGAGACAGAGAGACTTAGAGAGAGACACTTAGAGAGACAGAGACTTAGAGACACAGAGAGAGAGAAAAAGAGAGAGAGACAGAGACAAAGAGACAGACAGACAGACAGAGAGGGACAAAGAGAGAGAGAGAGAAACAGACTCTCTCTTTTTTTAGCTTGCACAATGTGGACTAGTGGCAAATTTGCACCCTTACAATGGTTTTGCACTGGTTTGTTAACTTGGCAACGGTTTGCACTGGTTTGTTAACTTGACAAGATGGGAAATTGCAAATTCTGCAAAATAATTGCAGCTGAAAAAGAAGCATCTTGTTTCCAAGTGGGAAACAGACTTTACAACCACACGCAGGGATAAATATATATATATATGCATCTCACAGCTTCGAACCTATCCGTGGAAATGTTGACAATCTTCTCAGCTTGAGAAGTTGGAAGATTGCAACGAGCCAAGAGATTTGGATCGTTAAAGAATAAGCTTTTCACAGAGAACTTTTTTTAAAAAAAAAAATGCTGATGCGTGTATGAATATACACAGATTTTAATCTTCTCTCTTTACAGTATATTTATTTGAACAATGTCCTGCTTTGTTGCCAAACGCTCAATTTTTTTTCCTGCTCAGATGTGCTTCAGACACTTAAAAACGAGGCATGGTATTTTTTTTAAAAAAAATTCAGCAACTATCTCACACACACATATCTAATAATAGTTCTGTTTAAAATCAGTTTTTAACAGGATGCTTCGAGGCAGAGTGCCGAGAAACTGTCCTGTGTGACTACATTTTGCATCTCATCTTTTAGAAAGAGAGGAAGGAAGGAAGGAAGGAAGATGGAGAAGGAAGGAGGAGAGAGAGGGAGGGAGGGAGGGAGGGAGGAAGGAAGGAAGGAGGGAGGGAGGGAGGGAGGGAGGAAGGAAGGAAGGAGGGAGGGAGGGAGGAAGGAAGGAGATGGGGAATGAGAGGAAGGAGATATGTAGGAGAAAGGGTGGCAGAAGCTGGGAGTGGAGTCAAAAGAGGAATCAGTCCAGAATCCCTTCATAGCCACAAGGGAATTAAATCCAAATTCCCTTGAATTCTGTGGACCATCTTAGCACATACTGACTTTTAGTTGAGAAAATTCCTGTATATAGGTTTTTAGCAACAAACCAGTTTAATTTACCTTCATGTTGGAGCTGATCTTCTGCGCTTGACAGGATGGGAATTAGAGGAAGGAGATAGGAATTGGAAGGAGGGAGGGAGAGACGAAGGAAGGAGGGAGGGAGATGGGGAACAAAAGGAGGGAGGGAGGAAAAAAGGAGAGGGAGGATATTGGAAAACGAAGGAAGGAGGAGGGAGGGAGGGAGGGAGGAAAAAAGGAGAGGGAGGGAGGGAGGAAGAAAGGAAGAAAGCAAGGAGGGAGATGGAGAACAAAAGAAGGAGGGAGGGAGGAAAAAAGGAGAGGGAGGGAGGGAATTGGAGAAGGAAGGAAAGAGGAGGGAGGGAAGGAGGGAGGAAGAAAGGAAGAAAGGAAGGAGGGAGATGGAGAACAAAAGAAGGAGGGAGGGAGGAAAAAAAAGGAGAGGGAGGGAGGAAATTGGAAAACGAAGGAAGGAGGAGGGAGGGAGGGGAGGAACAAAGGAAGGAGGGAGATGGAGAACAAAAGAAGGAGGGAGGGAGGAAAAAAAGGAGAGGGAGGGAGGAAATTGGAAAACGAAGGAAGGAGGAGGGAGGGAGGGAGGAAGAAAAGAAGAAAGGAAGGAGGGAGATGGAGAACAAAAGAAGGAGGGAGGGAGGAAATTGGAGAATGAAGGAGGGAGGAGATGTGTGGGAGAAAAGGGGGCAGAAGCTGGGGTTAGAGTCAAAAGAGGAATCCGCCTAGAATCCTAGAAGACTAAAGCCAACCTCCTTGGAATTACATGGACCCTGATCTTAGTCCAAACAGGTGCTGACTGTTTAGTGAGAAGATTCCTCTGCGTGGGAACCCCTTTAACTCAACCTTCAGGGGTGCACCTGATTTGTGTATGTGTGGGGGGGGGGTGAGAGACCTCCGAAAAGACCTGGCAGGGACCCCTCCCACCTGCCCTCCCCGCTCACCTGGGGTGGCTCGTAAGGGACGAGGACGCTCTGCCTCCCGGTGATGGGGTCTTCCACGTACTGCGCGTGGCTGTTGCCTTCCACGCGGATGAGGTGACTGGGAGGAGCAATTTGGCCTGGAAAAGAAGAATAGAGAAATCATTCCAAAATTCAAACTTTCCTTCTTCTCCGGTCCCGAGTAGACTGGAAATGGGACCCCGCTTCACTCCACGGAAGGCCGGAGCAGGTTAAACTTTGCTGGAAGATGCCCTGTCAATCTCCAACCTGAGGAAGCACAGGTGGGCCTCAACTTACGACCACAACTGAGACTACAACCTGTCGCTAAGCAAGTGACACCTGATTTTATGACTATTTTGCTGCAGTCATTAAGCGAATCAGGGAGCTGTTAAGCCGAAACCCGATTTCTCCCATTGACTTTGCTTGTTGGAAGCCGGGTGGGGAATTCACAAATGTCAGTCATGTGACCGTCGTAAATAGAGGCAGTCTTCAACTTACGACCACAACCAAGCCCAAAATTTATGTTGGTAAATGAGACACTTGTTACGTGAGTTTTGCCCCATTTTACGACTTTTCTTGCCGTGGTCATTAAGTGAATCATTGTAGTTTTTAAGATAGCAGCACAGTTGTTAAGTGAATCCAGCTTCCCCCTTGACTTTGTTTGTCAGAAGGTCGCAAAAAGGGGATCATGGGACCCCGAGACGCTGCAACCGTCGTAAATATGAGTCAGTGGCCAAGCATCCAAATTTTGACCCCGGGGATGCCGCAATGGTCATAAGTGCAAAAACTGGTCCTAAGTCCCTTTTTTCAGTGCCGTTGTAACTTTGAATGGTCACTAAGCGAACCGTTGTAAGTCGAGGACTCCCTCTACATATTGGTTGCCAAGTACCTGAATTTTCATCCTGTTAACTTCGACATTTGCAGCGAGATGGGCAGCAAACAAATTTAATGAACAACATTAATAAAATTTCATAAGAATAAATTCTTAAAGTGAGGCTCGCCCATCGGTCCTTTTTCCCCCCGTGTGATCGTAATTTCGCATGGTCACTAGGTGAACGGTAGTGGAAATTTTGAGTAGTTTGGAGAACCGGCAAATACCACCTCTGGCTGGCCCCAGAGTAGGGTGGGAATGGAGATTTTGCAGTATCCTTCCCCCAGGAGTGGAGTGGGAATGGGGATTTTGCAGTATCCTTCCCCTACTATGCTCACCAAGCCATGCCCACAGAACCGGTAGTAAACAAATTTGAATTTCACCACTGCATTAAACATTGCTGCAAGGGAAACTAAAGCTTTTAGAGTGGGGGTGTCCAACCTTGGCCACTTGAAAACTTGCGGACTTCAACTCCCAGAATTCCCCAGCCAGCCCTGCCTATTTCTTTTCCTCCCACCCCGCTTAGAGCGGAGCAATTGCAGAGAAAGGGATTAGAAGAGAGTAAGCAATAGGGGATAGATACAAGTCAAAAAGTGCTGGCACGGCTGGGGAATTCTGGGAGTTGAAGTCCACAAGTCTTCAAGCGGCCTTCTCTGTTTTGAGGCACTTATGCAAAATATTCAAAGGGGGGAAAAGCTGAGGTCTCCATAAGGTCCTAAGACATTGCCAAGTCATCAATGCAATTTATGCATCATCTCTGGAGGTTTTTTTTAAAGAAGAGATCGGACAGTCATTTGTCCAAAGTGGCATAGGCTCTCCCGCTTGAGCCAGGGGTGGGACTAGAAGACCTCTAGGGTCCCTTCCGATTCCGTTATTCTACGTTGCAAACATCCAACTCTTCCTGTCCCTAAATTTTCATAGCCAAGTCTTCATGACCACAATTCCTCCTCCTCCTCCGTTTCCTCTCCTTCTTCCTTCTCGTCCTCTTCTCCTTTTCCTCCTTCTCTTTTTCCATTTCCTTCTCCTCTATACCTTCTTCTTTTCCCTCTCTTCCTCCTCCTCCACTACCACCACCATAATTTTTCCATCCATCCTTCCCTCCTTCGGACTCACCTTCGTTGAATTCCCGGCTGAGTTCGTGATTCGGACACCGCTTGACCACTTCGGTCACGTGTTCGGCCTTCTTGTAGACCGGCATGGCTCGGATGACGGCCCCCTGGGGTGGCGGCGTCATCACCTTGATCTGGATGGGGCAGGTCTTGGCGATCTGGCAGTAGAGTTTCTTCAGTTCGGTGGAATACTGTGCCGAGAGAGAATGAGAGAAAGGGAAAAAAAGAGAGCGATGAACAGGGTGAAATTTCAAGGCTGGCTGAGCAGCTGAGCTCTCCCCCACCCCACCCAAGACTTGTTCACACGATGCAGAATTTGCACCCACGCCCAAGGTGCCAAGGTACAGGTAGTCCTCAACTTATGACCAAAAGGGAGCCCCAAACTCCTCTTGGTAAGTGAGACATTAGTGAAGAGAGACATTTGTTAAGCAAGTTTCGGCTCATTTTAACGACCTTTCTTTCTTGTTGTTAAGTGAATCATTGCAGTTCTTAAGTAAGTGACACCGTTGTTAAGTGAATCCGGCTTCCCCGTTGACTTTGCTTGTTGGAAGGTCCCAAAAGGGGATCACGTAACCCCGGGACACGGCAACCGTCATAAATACGAGTCAGTTGACAAGTGTTTTGAATTTGGATCACGTGTCCCCGGGCAATGCTGCAAAGGTCGTAAGTGCGAAAAAGTCACTTTTTGCAGTGGCGTTGTAACTTCAAACGGTCACTAAATGAATCATTGAAGTCGAGGACTACCCGTATTCGTTCCTATTGCATTCGGGGGCTGTACAGCGGAGGTCTCCCTCCAAGCTTTGCAAACGCTTCTGATTTTTATGGATTTTTTTTTATTTTTAAAAAAACCTTAAATTGCACAACTGCCAAAGGCGGCAGTAAATAAAACAATAAAACCCTGTTAAAAGTCAAATAAAGCCGAAGATAAAGAGAGCGTTCTTCTGCTTGCGTTGCAGCCTGGAGCAGGTTGGGAAGCGTCTTGGGGAGTGGGAATCGGGGGTGGCAAAGACGGGGGCTTAGCGGAACCCTCAGCGGCCCAAACCCCTGTAAAGGAGGGGGGAGGGCAGAAATGGCCCCCAGGGGTTCACAACCCAGGTCTGATTCCTTAGGTCAAACCAGGATTTCCTTCCCCAGAGAAACTGGAAAAGTTGCTAGACAATTGGAAACCCGTTTTAGGGAGGGAGGGAGGGAGGGAGGAAAAAAGGGTGAAAAAAGGAAGGAAGGAGAGGGAGGGAGGGAGGGAGGGAAGGAAGGAAGGAAGGAAGATGATATGAAAGGAGGGAGGGAGGGAGGAAGGAAAAAAGGGGAAAAAAGGAAGGAAGGAGAGGGAGGGAGGGAGGAAGGAAGGAAAAAAGGGGGGAAAGGAAGGAAGGAGAGGGGGGAGGGAGGGAAGGAAGGAAAAAAAAAGGGGAAAAAGGAAGGAAGGAGAGGGAGGGAGGGAGGGAGGAAGGAAAAAAGGGGGAAAGGAAGGAAGGAGAGGGGGGAGGGAGGGAGGAAGGAAAAAAGGGAAAAAAAGGAAGGAAGGAGAGGGAGGGAGGGAGGAAGGAAGGAAAAAAGGGGGGGAAAGGAAGGAAGGAGAGGGGGGAGGGAGGGAAGGAAGGAAGCAAGCAAGGAAGATGATATGGAAGGAGGGAGGGAGGGAAGAAGGAAATAGGAACAAGGAAGGGAGGGGCAGAGATAGCGAGGGAGGAGGGAAGGAAGGAAAGGAGGAAAGAAGAAAGCGGAAGGAATGATGGAAGGGAGGAAAGAAGGAAGGGAGAAATGAGGGAGGGAGGAAATAGGAACAATGAAGAAAGAAAGGGAAAGGTGGAGGGGAAAAGGAAGAAAGGAAGGGAGGGATGGAAATAGGAACAAGGGAGGGAGGCAGGAAGGAAGGAAAAGGAGAAGGTAGAGGGGGGGAAAAGGAAAAAGAGGAAAAGGAATAAGAGAAGGAGAAGGAAGAAAAGGAGAAGGAAAAGGAGACGACAACAAGAAGGAAGAAGGGAAGGAAACAGAGGAGGAGGAGGAGGAGAAATGCTGGTTGTGTGAAGGAGGAGGAGCAGGGGACTTGATGGTCCTGGAGGAAGAGGAGGAAGAGTGGAGCTGAAGAAATAGAAGAGGAGGAGATGGAGAAGACGGATGGAGCAGCAGAAGGAAGAAGAACAGGAGGAAGAGGAGGCAGAAAAAAACCCACCAGCAGTTTAACTCAGGATTGCAACTCCCAAAGCTCTCCTAGCCACGGGGCAGGCTTCCAAAATGCCCATAATTGGGGGGGGGGGGGTGAAAAACAATGCCCCAAACACGCCTTAGGATGCCCCCTCCCTCTGCCAGAGAGCGCCAAGCCCTTGGAAAGCCCCTGGCCCGCCCGCACCCCCCCCCCCGCACCCACGGGGCTGGCATGGGCATCTTTCGTGCCCTTTCAGAGGACGCCGTGTCTGTTTGCTCAGGGATGCCAATCCCGGACCGGCCGAGCACAAAGGGCTGGCAGGAACGCGCCAAGTCAGCCCCGGGCAGCCTGTCCAGATAACATCCCTTGGCAGGAGGTGCCCGTGGGTGGGAAGGTGGCACGCAGGGGCCTGGCTCTGGCAGCTGGGAAAACACAAGCCCCAGGCCAAGGCATTTTTCGACCCACCCACCCACCCCCAAAATTGGGGGAGTCCCCTGGCATCGCGGAACAAAAGCACCACCCTGATTCAGCCCCCCCCCAAAAAACCCAACACCCCAAAACCCTTTCCCTGCCCGGAGTTTGTGGGTGTGGGCCGCCCAAGGCCCAGGGTTTTCTCTCCCCCTCCCCTTTTTTTTCTTCCCCTTGTCTTAAGCCCTCTTTCTTTTTAAAGTGCGACAATGTGAGATTGTGCAACAGCCTCTCTCGCAGTGCCCGCAGGCTATGGATTTATGGACACAAAGGGTTTACACAGCCTGCGGAAACAGGAACGTGCCAGGCCCCGTGGGGGGGGGAGGGGAGGGGAGGTATGGTTTGAAGAAAAAGAAGAAAAAAAAAGAGCAGAAAAAGAAGAAAAGAAGAAGAAAAAAATAACACAACTTGCGACATTCGGAGCCAAGAGGAAACGGGAGGTTTTTTTTCCCTCCCCCCCAAATGTGCTTTTTTTTTAAAAAAAATAAAATAAAAGACCTGGTGAAAAAAAATTAATTTATCAGAATGAAGACCCACACGGTGGCCAACGGGGTCGCATTTTGGGGAGCTCAAACGGGTAGAAAAGGGGCATTTTGTCTCTGAAAAAAAAAAAAGCATTGGGCAGCCGCTATTTGTTGAGAAAGAAATAGTCCTCGTACTTACAACGGTTTCCTTAACAACTATTCGAATTGATGGCACTGAAAAAACCCTGCCTTACGACCAGTCCTCGTACATACAACCACTTTTTCACTTACAAAAATTCATTTAGTGACCATCCGAAGTTACAATGGACCTGAAAAACGGACTTTTTTAGTATTTGAGGGGCTGCCCCAAAGAAGAGGCAGTCAAGCTATTCTCCAAAGCCCCTGAAGGCAGGACAAGAAGCAACGGATGGAAACTAACCAAGGAGAGAAGCAACGTGGAATTAAATGAGAAATTTCCTGACAGTGAGAACAATTGACCAGTGGAACTGCTTGCCACCAGAAGTTGTGGGTGCTCCATCACTGCATGTTTTCAAGAAGAGAGTGGACAGCCATTTGTCTGGAATGCTATAAGGTTTCCTTCCTGAGCAGGGGGTTGGACTAGAAGACCTCTGAGGTCCCCTTGCAGTCCTATGATTCCAGAAGGGAGGGAGGAAACTAATCAAGGAGAGAAGCAACCTGGAACTAAAGAGAAACTTCCTAGCAGTCAGGAGAATGAACCAGTGGAACTACTTGCCTCCAGATATTGTGGGTGATTCACCGCTGGAGGTTTCTAAGAAAATATTGGATGGAAATGGTCTGGCAGGGGGAAATGCTACCGGTTCAGGCCGGTTTGCCAGAACCGGTAGTAAAAAAAATGCTTTGAAAAAGTTTTTAAAAAGGTTCCAACGATCGCGGGCACAGCTGATTTTTAATTTTTAAAATTAAAAAATGTTTTAAAAAAGTAAAAAAAAAAAGTTAGTCACGCCCACCCAGTCACATGACCCCCACACACACCAAGCCACGCCCACCAAGCCACACCCACAGAACTGGCAGGGAAAAACATTTAATTTCACTGCTGTGGTCTAGGCTAGGGTCTCCTGCTCGAGCAGGGAGTTGGACTAGAAGACCTCCAAGGTCCCTTCCAGCTCTATTCCGAATGGAATCATCTACACCAGTGTTTCTCAACCTTGGAAGCTTGAAGAGGGGTGGACTTCAACTCCCAGAATTCCCCCAGCCAGCGCTGCTGGCTGGGGGATTCTGGGAGTTGAAGTCCACCCCTCTTCAAGCTTCCAAGGTTGAGAAACACTGATCTACACCATCTTAAAAGCAGGAACCCTTGCAAACATTATTCAAAATCTGCACGTCGGAAAAGGGGCTCCAAAGAATCCCGATCTTTGCCCATTCAGGATATTGCTTCATGCCGAATGCACATATAGCCCCCCCCATGCTGTGTGCCCCCAAATGCATCTCTTTGCAGCCTCTGTGGCTATTTGCATTCTCCACAAGGGACCCACGTGCCACCGTTTGCCCCCCCCACCCAAAACCCCCCACACCTGCTGCTGTGTATGTGAGTGAAAGGGAGAGAAACGGGCTACATTACTCTTCTTGGCACCCCCAGCGAGTCCCACAGCCGTCCGGGGTGCACGTCGCAAGCCCCCCCCCCGACTTTGTTGCACACCTGTCTGCTTTTCCAACAAGCCGCCCCTTCCCTCCCTCCTCCCTCCTCCCCGTCTATTCACGTCCTGTTGACAAAAAGTTTGCAAAACTCACACGTCCCACAATTCCAGGGATTAAAAAGCAAAAGGCAGAGGCGGCGCCGAGACAAAAAGAAAAAAACAAAAAGACCCCGTCCCCAAAAAAGGAAAAAGGATCATTTGGCGACCGAATAACAGAAAACAGAATAACAGAGTCGGAAGGGACCCTGGAGGTCTTCTAGTCCAACCCCCTGCTTAGGCAGGAAACCCTGCACCGCTTCAGACAAACGGTTATCCAATATAATGTACAACAGCACTGGGAAAAAAGTGAATTAGGGTCACTCCTCACACTTAACGACCGTCAGAACATTCCCCCCACAATCCTGGAGAAAACCAGCATGGTATAGAAATAATACATATTATTTCCATAGCAAGGAAGATAAAAGCAGAATTGCCTTCAA